ACCGTGATGACTTTGTGTTTAAGTGCTGGGTCAACTGTCGACTGTCTCGACGCTTTCTCCATGCCTCACTTGGTTCTGTGAAGAAAACTCGTCGTAGAACAGGTCGAGCTGCCATCCCAAATACATACCCAGACGACCAGTACGTCATTACAACGTTACGCCTGCGGTAGACGCGTCGTCCAAAAACGGTAGTACTCACCCACCCCTCCCCCTCGATGCACAAGATGCTTCATAAACAACGAAAGTCGAACACGGAGAGTCGTCTGATATTTTCAATTCGGGAAAGCCATTGTTCACACCTGTAGAGGCGTTGGACAAACCGACACGTTATAAGCTCGACCCTTCAGTGATAGACTGATAAAGCGCCCACGCCAGAGAGGTTGGAGATTTTTAAAGGTCTTGGTGACCCTTGGTGTGATTGTGGCAGTTTGCAGATAAAACGGGCAGATAAAACGAGTGTTCTGTCAGCAGCGGTGATTTCACGTCGTTGATGAGAAACATATGCAGTGATAGCTTAATTATGGGGTGAGACAATCAAACGAGTTCTGTAGGGATTGGGTGCCATCATTAGGACAATATCATCAACGTTGTCTAGTTCCTGAATCCTTCCACCCTGGAGGAATTTCACAACACCAAACGTATTTCCAGATGTACTGGCGTGAATTCATCAACGATGAAGTCAGCCAGAAACGGGAATACTGTGTAACCATGTTGGTGATGCGAAACGGATGAAATTCTTAATCGCTGAAACGGACTTGAGCCGTCGTTTCACTACACAGTACTTCCAAAATGTTCACGAATTTATGAGCACAGCACTCTCTGGTCTACGGAGTCGGATGGAAGTCGGATGTTTACCATGAAACCAACTCCCCTCAGCGACCGAAGTTATGATTGACCTAACTTCAACAACCAATTAGTGTTCAGATGTTCCTAAACTGGATGCTTTGAGGAGTAACGTAAGACTAGGCCTCATAAGTCGACTTTGTCGACTCTCGCAGAATGGTATGGACATTCTCGTACACATAACTTTGGCCTACACGGATACCTCGGTAGGATGGATTATCTTTTGCCCAGATAACTCAGTGATTAAGATACAAACCTACTGATCGGAAGGTCCGTGGTTCGAACCAACATCAGCATCTTGAGTGCTCCCGTCTAGGCCTCAGCCGTCGTACTTTCGTCGGGTGGCCTGACAGCTAGACACCGAGTGTTACAGATGAACGACCTATTTTTATGTTGCAAATCTTCCCAACAGTAGCTTACTGAAATGTATCCTGTGCCAGCCTGTGGTTGGTGGATGCCAAATTTTAGATACCATTTTGATGTCTGAAGTTCAGACAGGTTAAACATAAACCATGATTGAGCCAAATAGTCAAAAGCCGTTTACCGTTGTCATTTCTATGTGAGTCAAGACAACGCGGACCTCCTAGTTGAGGTTCTTCTGAACCGAGTCTACCAATGCGCGTTTTGAAATAGCCAGTTGGAAAAACAATATAAGATCGAGCTTTGCGGAGTAGTCCGTTTGCTCTTACGGTTAGCGAGGGTTGATCGTTGGGACAGACTGACATGAATCCTTCTCAATACTGTTTCAGCTTTGACACATTTAAAGAAGTTACCGCTTGCGAGAATCTCAACGAATCACGAGCGATTCATGCGGTAACAATAATGGACATTTCTGTGCCAAAACTGCATCCACATTGATTTCAATTCGTCTCTCCAACGTTAATGAAGTTTTACGCACCATTGCCAACTACGCATACTGAGTTGAGCACCACACTGAAACACTTGCATTCTCTTCAATCTGCCTTGACCATCGCGAATCACCTCTCAGTATCGACACCTCCTCACAACCAACATTAAGTTGGCTCGTTTCGAACATGTAGGCATTTGACCGCAGGGCTGAACAACAGAGCACATATGATGACAGTGAGTGGCGTTAGCACTATTACTTCTTTGATTCAAGGTGAAATGACTTGGTGCTGCTGGCTGATTTGATCCACCATTCCTGAGAATATCAATGATAGATAATCGTTCAGCTGTAACACCCTTTCGGTGCCTAGTTACAATGCCACCCGAGAGAAGCACGAGGGTTGAGACACTGGCAGGTTGGCCGAACCTAGATAGCAGTCAAGATGCAGAGTTCGGGTTCGAACCACGGACCGTCCGATTAGGTTTGCGCCCTAACCATTGAGCTACCCCGAGCTCGAGCCATTATGCTGGGTCCGCTAATCAGACCGCTTAAGGAATTGAATAAACGAACGAGTGCTTAATGAAGTGGCTCCAGTTCCAAGCCACCTAAAAAGGTTACCACTCCTTCTTGGAAGCGCAAAACCTGGCCGAGATTCAACTTAAAAGTCAACTCGAAGAGACTTAAGCGGATACATGGTTACGCGAACATTCACAAAACTTACCTATGATTTCTATCATGGAGGGTCTTTTGGAGTTACACAGTTTGCACAGGAGGTTTACCATATCCGTGGGGAGGTGCTAACCCTCTTCAACAACCAAAAATATTTTTCATCAATTATTTAAACAAGTCTGTTTGGGAACTTCTTCCGAAGGTTAGAGAACCCATCAATTTATCTCACCATCGACAGGAGCGAAAGCCCTTTCAGAGAGGACGATGTTTGATGATCCGAAGTATTCGTTTCCCAAAAGGGCATCATAGTGAGGGGCTTCCCACACCACTACTCGCAGTGGCAACGTCCCTAAAGAGATACGGTAGTGTCGGGCGCACTGTATCGAAGGTCAGGTTTCCGTGTCCAGGGGTAACGTTATCCCCAGCCAGCAAAAACGAAACTTATCAAGATATTCAAGTGAACATATTGTCCGAAGAAGTTGATCAGTTGTTTCTATTTTTTTATTTACAGGTTAGCTGCTCTTTGTGGATGCAAACATACTGGACGAAATAACAGTTGACCCACTACACATTCCCGAATATCTCAGGAACCAGTATTTCTACAGAAAGTAATAAAAGACACATAGCAAGCCCTAAAGGTGCGAAACGCTAATGAAGCCACCTTTGTCAACAACCTCGGCTAGGAAATTCAAAGGTCGGTTTCGAACCACGTACCTTCCGGTTAGTAGGTTTGAGCCCCACCCACTGAGGCTCTAGCTCGAGTTCTGCGGCACTGTCAATACCACAGTGATTTCTCATCAGTCATATAACGGGACTACACACATTTGGTCAGCCGTAAAAAATGCGCGGTTTCCAGAATGAACTCTGCCACTATCTCCCTACAATTCTTAATAGATCTGCAACCGGAATGCTTCGGAGGCATTCGGGTGTTATCATGCTGTGATGTCCTATATCCAGCTCGTTCTTCAGGAGAATATGGGGCATATTTACTTGTTATATTAGTTTACCATTTAGTACCACTACACGGTACATAAAGTCTAGCCAGTAGTTACACAGTCATCACCACAATTCAGCTCACTGAGTGCTGGCCAGTTTCCGAACGTTCCGCACAAGCAAGTCAGTTAACATGGCCAAAAGGACTGTAGGTTTCTGAAATATTACTGAATTCAATACCCTCACCGCCATTCGCAGTCACAAAGGGTCTTTCGTTGTAACCATCACAAGTTGTCCCGGATGAGATCTGTTTCGGGACAACTGATCTAGTTCATCTATGAGGATACCAAGCATTTGTTGCACTCCTGTCATACAAATTTTTACAGGCAGCATCCGTTCCAGCTCAGACCTCCACTTCCTGATTCTATGTGTTCCCCTTGAAGAAGACCCAGAGAAAATGGCCAATGGACTAAAGTGATCGATTTAATAACCATAATAATCATTCCACTATAATACCCTTTCAGTGCCTAGTTGCAGTGCCACCCAATGGAAGTACGGGGGTTCAGATAATGCCATGTTGTTCAAGTCTGGACAGGAACAGTCCAGATGCAGCGGCTGGGTTCAAACGAAGGACCATCATGCCACTAAGTTTGCCGACCGAGCTCAAGTGATCTCGAGTGATCGACTTAGCCGATTTGATGTCGCGTAGTTCGAAAATTGCATCTCTTCTTATGTCGATATTTGCCCTCGTTGGAGGTCGGACAGTAAAGACCCAGTGGCATCCTCTGGTTGCATCATCCAATGGCTATTAGAGAGCAAACCCACCGGACATGATATCGCTCACACAGCATTTTTAGCTGCAAAGCCACACATTGTTGTCCCCCTGCATATGCTGTGGCGCACTAGCATTTCTTGTTCCAAGGACGCTCGGCTTAGGATGGCTTTATCGTCATTTTACAACCCCACAATAAGGAACGCGTCACTGTTATTAGCTGATAATTTTATCGGGAAAATTGGAGAAGCGGGATTAGGTGCCGCACGGGTACAATAAACTCCGTTTAAAATATAGGAACTCCGCAATGAGAGGGAGGCAAGATCTACAAGAACAATACAATGGACCAGAGTCGAGTACACATAGTAGTACTGTAGAATAAGAAAAGGAAATAGAACCACGAAAGTTACCCACCGGGATGGGAGTACTCCAACAAGGGTAGGTAGCAGGCCTTTGAAGAGGGCTCGAACGCCCTCGGTTCGGGAAATATCAGCGAGACACCGGATCAAAATTGAACGGCGAAAGCCAGTCCTGGAAGAGGATTGTTGCTTCTGAACAGCATTGGAGAAACTCGCCGAGCTTAAGTGGTAGGATTCGTTTGCAGAGGAATGTCTGATTTTGGATTTGTTGCAGCTGGTACTGGATGGAGATGGGTGTTCCTGTCGTTCTGCGACAAGATCATTACGGTTATGAAGAGAGACTGTGGACAGAATTCGGCGCACAATGCGTGTGCTATGGCGATTGGTAGTCGCCGTGATCACCGGTGTAACTGTGGCAGTATTCACATTTTCAGAGGCACTACAGAGGATTGACCCTCTGGATGATTGCAGACGGACTTTGACGACTTCTAAAGGACAGGTGAGAATCGCGCCAACAGTGCCACCGATGCTGCAGGACAAGAAGAAGACATATACGCCAGTTTGTGAGATTAAATTGAACTGCACCAAACCAGTATGCTTGACGTTTCGTATGGAAATAGATAATGAGTTCTTGTGAGGGCTCTGGAACGTAGCTACAGTACTAAATTACCCACATAAATCAAACCTTACGGCAATCTGCCATTAGGAAACTATTCCAGAAAATAGTATACAGACACAGTAAGAGTAAGAGTAAAGTAAGACACAGTAAGAGTACAAGCAGAAACGAATACTTGGATTCCAGCCTCTGGAAATGATTATCTACAAAGAATTCAGGAAGCACGCAATATTACACGAATATTACTGTATTTCTACGTCGAAAGGGTGACGCAAGTAAACACTAAGGTGACAGTATGCTGGCGAATGGACGATCATGAACATAACCGTTGAGTCTGGGATGAGGTAAGACGAATTACTTTACTGTCCATGAGGCTGTTATTGGTTGCCGATATCAATGACTCGCAAGGATTGAGTGGGCCATGGAAATATCCAATTTGTTGTTTTGGCGGTAGTGCAAAAGGTCGAATTGTTTCATTCGTCAAGAAAGCAAAGATAATGAAACCATGTAATACAGAAACATGGGAGAGATTGGCCACTCAATAAGATGCGAATGGAGAATATTATGAAAGCAAAAAGGTGTTAACACTTAGAATACAAGAGGCTATGAAACAGTTCAGTAGATTTAATCGCAGGTTGTTTTTCCACACAGAGGTAGGTTGTTACTGTCTTTATGTCAGATACCTGGTTATCACGTGTCGGCAAGCCCCAAACACGGTCAAAGACCGTATACGATGAACTTAGCCGATGTTTTTGCTGGCAGGTGATGGGAGTTGGTTGGGAACTTCGTTCAGCTGTAACACCCTTAGGTACCTAGCTGCTATGTCACCAGAAGCACGAGGGCTGGGATACTGCTAGGTTACCCAAGCCTAGACAGGGGAAGTCGAGAGGCAGAGGTCGGGTTCGAAACATGGAATTTACGGTCAGTAAATTCGCGCTCTAACCACTTGAGCCATCTTGCCCCCAGGTTTGAAGCTTACAGTCATTCGATCATCTCATACTGATGGTGCAGTGAGTAGAATAGATTGCATAAATCCGTTGCTGCTAACTGATCTCAAAAAATTAAATCATTGAGCCGTAGAACCCTTTCGGTGCCTAGCTGCCATGCCAAAGCAAGGAGGCATGAGGGCTGGGATACTGACAGGTTACCGAAACATAGACAGGAGCAGTCGGGATGCTGAGGTTGGGTTCGAACTACGAAACCTGGTTGGCACCTTCACCACCGAGCTACCTCATTTGAACTCGAAGCGCCAGAGTGCCGTTTTTGCAATGATGTATTGTGAACAGACGGTGGAAGGGAGACCATGACACCACGGTATATTAGAAGACCCTACCACACAGAGCTGGTAACATGTAAAGCCTCAATAGTGCCAATTTGGTCGAAGCATAAATATGAACAAGAGGTCAGCAGTGACAAATACTGAAGACAGTATGGGATAATAAAAGCAGTAGTCTGCCTATATAGAGGTATGGAATGGAATGAAACAATACCCCGATAACATGTACAAGCAAAACGGCACATTCAGAAACACCAAGTGAATAAGAAGTCGGTGTTTAAAACACAGCGGGGAAATAACTAGGCTCTATTGAACGAATGATGGGCGAATGGGTGATGTTGTGTGGTTGATTAGTTTGAGGCAGATTGGACTTACACGGGACAGTGATATGCGGTATGCTAGCGCACGTGTCTCAGCGTAACGTGTCTCAGTTAATGTCTCAGTTGCTACGACTGAACAGAGCGCCTGGTTATCCGGTGTATCTGATGATGCAATACGCGCCATTTCTTAGTGATCAATAACCGTGGACACCAAAGCGGAAAGATGAATGGTCTACCCGATCTCAATGGAATAGCTTTAACCTACAAAAAGTCAACAGTAAGGTGTTCCTTTGATAACTTCTCGTTCCAGAGTTGTGGCGTGGACTTGTAAGGTAATGATATGGGACTATGCCGGATGTTATACTTATCTTCAAGACAGTGCTGATGTGCGCATTCCAAATACAACCACCACAGTAACAGCACAATATGAGTGCTGAACGCATACTCATTCGTGCGTATTTATTTGCCGATTATTATGGAACTTAACGCCCCTGCATCTTCGTATTCCGATTAGACTGCACTTGAAAAAAATTGAAAGCAGAAAATCGTTGTTTAATCTTCTGTTTGTAAGTGATTCACAAGACTCCAATGGAGTCCAGTCCACACCTAACAAACAACTGATTGGCACAGTAAGTGCACAACCACTAATACTACGAAAGTGACTCAATGTGATGCAGTCCAATGTAATCAGTGTAGGTCAGCACTGATACTCCGATGGAGTCAATCAAACCCTTCGGAGTTAACGATGACCAAATGTTGATTTTTTTAGTGTTGGGCATCAGCTAAGTTTAGGTAGAGGTTAGTGCTTTGGTTTTAGTTAGAGTACGGTGGACCTGGAGGAACGCATAGTTTGAGCAAAACTCTGTCCTGTCTTGGTAGGTCAGCTGGTAATGCCATTTTCTAAATATGGACTTGGTTGTTTGTGAATAAACACCACCTGCATTGAAGCCGAATTTATACAGCGAACCGGGTGAATGAGACTAAACCACTCGAAGTTCCCTGCAAGGGTGCAACAAGGAAGATATTCAGAATCGTTTCTTTTCAAATTACGTGCCAGGATGATATCAGCATCTAAGTCGTCAGAGAAGTCACATATGGGTTCGATAATAGTGTCTGCAGAGTAAAGTTCCGGGAGGGGGGGGGGCAACAAAGAATCGAAGTCGTAAGGACCAACGCAGACATGAGCGCAGCTAGCAGAGCACTTGTCCGTCAAGTGGGAATTAGAGGATTGAATTCACATCCCAGGGTCTGTCAGCCTACTCACCGTGTTTGCGTAGTAGGTAGTGGCATCCCAAGGATGGGCAAGAGGATGCTACATGAACCTAATGATGATAACACGATATGGCGAGTGATGAACCAACACAAAGGGAATTTACATGCGTGAGATCTCCAAATGGCTGCTGGTGGCAAACGTTAGAATTGGTACTTCAAATGACTTCGTTGGCCACACTTTAGCTCACGTACGCGTACCAGGAAATTAAAACATTTGTTACTATTCTGAATCCAAGCTTCGTTTTTGGAGTTTGGAAGGAATTATATGTGCTGGGACCGCACAGTTGTTCGACACAAGTGCCTCTACACGGAGCCCCATACAGATGACGCATCCGGACGACGATAGAACTGGCTTCATATCTTCAGTAACTACTTTGTAAACATTGAACATATTTAACACGCCCATCCGTTTTAATGACCTCATCTGCGGCTAAACCGCCAATTGTACAGTGACTGTTATTGTGGTATATGCCTGGCAAGAGTTGGACCATAAAAATCTATGGCCAGAGAGTGACTTTAAAGTGGTTGTAACTCTTGAACAGAATGAGGCATTTGTGTCCTATTTAGTGAACTCTAATAGATCTCACTAAAAAAGTGACCGCATTCTCGTCCACTGACTTACCTGGATCAGTAAGCGTAATAACCATAGTCGTTCAGCTATGAGACCCTAGCTGCTGTTTCTTCATGAGAAACATGAAGGCTAAGAAACTGTCGGGTTGATCAAAACAAAGCAGTAACAGCACAAACGCCGAAACATGGATTTTGAGGTCAGTTTGCGCTTCGACCGTTGAGGTATCTTGAGCTCACCCACATGTAAAAAAATCTTCCACTTCACTGCCATCATCAGTTGTCCCCTCTCCACACAGTTATTAATCAATCAGTTATGTGGAAACAGCAGACATTCGGAGAGGCCTTACACACAAACTGTCGTACAACTTACGTGTTTCGACGGCTAATAAGCTCAGCCCCCATTTGATTCATTATCATTATCAGCATCAACATCATCATCATCATCGTCGTCGTCATCATCATCATCATCGACAGCATGACATCAGTGTTCAACACCGATGCTTCACTACCGTACAACCACGACTTATTTCAAAGCCTTATTATAAACAAAAGAGTAAAGGTGGACAGGGAAGGGACTGTAACCATCGAGTTACATACTTTGTCGAGCCACCGAATGTCCAGGATGAATTTTAAACATGAAAGATTAGTGTGTAGATGTCTGGTAGTTTTACGACCGAAGTTAGGGACAGTGTAGTTAATACACTGACAGACTAACAATTAAAAGCACGCCTGAAGTCAAGAAACACTAGGATTGTGGGTCACCTGTAGGTGTAGGGTCACACTAACACGCCAAGGAATGCGAAGTTGTGATTGACGCAAACTCTACTCGGCTGAAATCTCACTCGATGCTCCTCTTGAGGATGGGAAGTAATGTCTAATCACTCCAGTTGAGCGGGACGGCCTCTCTCCAAACAAAATGTAAACAGGCTAGAGGCCCTGGATGTAAAATTTATCACCAACCTTGAGCAGTGGATGGTTGATGGGATTAATAGCACGGTGACGCTTAAGTAGACACATTCAGATCATCCGTCCCGTGCCTAGTGCATCGCGAGGTCAAACTCGGAGGTCCATTCACTGTAATCTCGAACTCGAGCTTTCGTTGACAAGTAGTAAGCATTGAAGAGAGAGGTGACCTTGGCTAGTTCACCATCAGCAAGTCGGTGGACACAGACGAATTGGGTGTAAGAAACGATAATTCGGCATACTTAACACATGCCCCAACCAACGCAGCTTCTGGTGCTGGACACATTCTTTAATGGAAGTACCCGTTACACAACCGAAAACACGCCTTCTAACTGCCTCGTTACGGATTCGCCGACACCAACCCACACGAGCTATGGTTCTGACAGCGATTATCGAACACCTGAAGACGTCTCAGTTCCGCCGCTCAAATAGGCCAAGTCTCACAGTCATACAACAAAACAGCCCGTACTGTAGCTTGATACACACGTCCCTTCAGATTCAGGGATAAACCA